AAAGAGACAATGGAACTGTCTATGTAACTGCTTTTTTTTTTCCTTTAGATACATTTTATGTTTACGTTTGTTTGTCTTCTTTGATACCTTGATTTGCTTGTATGTTAACAGTCAAGTTTAATGCTTTAAAATTCTTGTTAATCTAGGGAGGGATTGGTCGGCTCGTAGATAGTAGGGTTCTAAGTTTTGTAGCTTTCGTAGAAGAAGATAAAAATATTGGTATAATTGAAGTTTTTATAGTAATCCCAAATTGGCTGATTTCGCTGTAGGCGAATAGGCAAAAGATTTTCTCTTTGACTTTCTGTTGTTGATTTTTATGTCACAATTTAGTCTACGAAGCAAGGTGACGATTAAGAAGAGTGGAATTTAGAGAGCCTGGCTTTGATAAAACTAAAGTCCCTGTATTTTCTAGTATGCAAGCTTCAGATCAAACAAATTACGTTTTCACCTTCAGACACATAACAGGAGATTTATAATGCTATTTTTTTTACTTAGGCTAGAGTTTGATAAAATAACGGAATTTCCTCATTTCTGACCTTGCGGATTAACATTTTTATGTTTGTGCAGCAGCTACTAATTTCTTGTTTGGGATGTAGTAGTTTACATCATGAGGAAAGACGGGGCTTGGATAATCTAAGGACTGGAAAGAAGTTTAGGTATCATGTATTTCAGAAAGGCGAAATGTTGCACGCTTAGGACACTTCAGTTAGCTTGTGCGGGATTCACGGCTAAAGTTTTTGCACTATACTGGAAGGATTGATATTATATTGGCAGTATATGAATTAATTCGGACTGGATTTGTTGGTTTTTTCCTCCTTTCCGTAACTGTCTGAGTTTCTGCGGTTACTTTCCAGTTATGCTTCTAAATACTCAACTTGCAGCCTCGTTTGATTCCCCTGTATCGTCGGCATATTTGAGGCTTGTTTTCTGGCACCAAAATTGCCGTTGTTTTCGGGCACTGCTTGGCAGCGGTACCGTATTAGTACTGCTGACCTCCTCTGCTCCTGCTCTTCCAGGTTTGAGGTAATAGTACCTGTCAAAGAATATGTTACGCCTTATCTGTCTTCAGCTAGTTGTTTTAAGAAAGTGACTTAAAGTGTAGGTATGAACTATTAGCTACATTTCGAGTTACCTGTTATGGGTGTTCGTTTTGAATTACAGTGATCTAACTGTTTTAACAATCATTTTTTAAAGTTCTTCATGTTAGTACAATACGAAATCCCCGCCAGTTTTGTGCTACTTTATAAAACAGTGTTAAAATTTGAGATTACTCGTTTTAAGAATTAAGTTTGCAGGACATTATACAGGATTGATTTTTTTGCTTTAGTTTTAGACCTATTTTTGTTGCTTTCATCATAGTGATCCTGTAGTGAATAACTCCCTTTGAGTCTCTTTATTGAGTTACATGAGTAATAGGTTTTGAGCATGAAAAACGCACTTTAGTAAATTTTTTTTTAGTAAATTTTAGGATGTCTGGTTCGTTACCGGTTTTAATGTTGATTCGTCGTCAGTGTCGTCCACTGTTTTCTGCTCTCACCCACTTTGCCTCACATTCAGCTGGTGGTAGCGGGCGCGATTCGAATTCCACGTCAGGGAATTTTGATGAGGGCGATGGATTTGTTCTCCTTGGAGGGGGTTCAAGTGACAACACGTCGAAGACTCCTACATTACGTTGTAGAAGTTGTGAAAAACTTTTAAAAAATTTACAGACAAGCACATGTGAGTCTTTTAGTGCGGTTATTTTAATATCATTTTTTGTTATTTATGAACATGTTCTGTCTCCTCAAATTATTCAACGATTTATAATGTATTCATCTACGTGTTATTTATTTTTCATTCAAATTTTATGCCTATTTTTGTCTTTTTCGATATAGCGATCCTATAGTACTTAACCGTCTTTGAGTCTCTTTTGCAACTTACATGAACAAAAGGTTTTTT